TCTTCCAGTCAGTTGGAAGATTTGCCTTCCAAATTTGGAAGCTGCCTTCCAAATGACTTGGTGTAGATGAGTGCGTGCCTCCAGTGCCGCATCAGTTGGTTGAAACATTTCAATTTGTAGTCCACCAATTCCTGGTGCCTCATTCTTTGCCAATGCCTGCAGTGTACTTTGGACTTCTTCCTTCAGGGTCATTTGCTCTTGATCATATGCTACCTTTTGAAATGGTTGAACATTGGCCCTTTCTTTTTGGTATAATGACACTGTATATTCCTTCCAAGGAGCTCTGGTAGCATAGTGGTTAACGAGTCGGACTGCGAACCGCAAGGTCAGCAGTTCGAAACTACCAGCTGTTCTGCAGGAGAAAGATGAGGCTTTCTGCTCTCATAAAGATTTGCAGCCTCGGAAACCCTGTGCAGGGTCGCTATGAGTCGGAACCGACTCTATGGTACTTAACAACAACAACAACATATTCCTTCCATCTTGTGTTGATGCTTTCTGCATCATTCAATATTTTGCCCATTGTTGTTGTTGTTAAGTGCCGTTGAATCGGTTCCGACTCATAGTGACCCTGTATACAGTTTTCTAGGAGCAGCTGGTGAGCTTGAACTGCCAACTTTGCAGTTCAGACGGCTTTGCAGTCTGGTGCATTAACCCACAGTGCCACATCAGGACTCCCATAGAATCCTTCAATACCACAAGTTGAGGCTTCATTTTTTCTTCAGTTCCCTCAGCTTGTAGAGTGATATTGAAGGATTCTATAGGCACTTGGTAGCATGTGCTTACAAATAGGGCTGCAAACCTCAAGGTCAGCAGTTCAAAACTACCAGCTGTTCCGCGGGAGAAAGATGAGCCTCGGAAACTCTGTACAGGGTCGCTATGCATCGGAACCAAAGCCACAGCACATTACAACAACAACGAGGCAAAATGCAGTCCTGGTGTGGTGCTATGGGTTAATGAGCTGGACTGCAAAATCATTTGAACCTCAAAGTCAGAGGTTCAAGCTCACCTGCTGCTCTTTGGAAACCCTATACAGGGTCGCTATGGGTTGGAATCAACTCACTGGCACTTAACAACACAAGCAACACTAGGCAAACTGTTGCTCTTAGAATCTTTCAGTATTGAAAGTTGAGATTTGCATTTTTTTCTTGAGTTTTTTCAGCTTGTGAAATGCTGGATGTGTTCTTCCCATTTGGTTTCCTGACTTCATGTCTTTGCACATTTCATTATCATAGTTGTCTTTGTCTTCTGAAGTTGTCCTTTGAATTTTCTGTTCACTTCCGTTACTTCCTCATTTCTTCCATTTGCTTTAGCATCTCTACGCTGGAGAGCAGGTTTCAGAGTCTCTTCTGGCATCCATTTTGGTCTTTTCTCTTTTTTCCCCCTGTCTTTTTAATGACATTCCTCTTTCTTCCTGTTGTATGATATTCTTGATGTCAGCTCACATCTCTTCTGCCTTAAAAAGTGTTTATTTGTAGTATAGTTTTGAAAACCAAGAAAGGAGTGTCCAACCTTATTTATTGACTCAATGCAGTACAATATAATGGCTTTGTTTTACAGAGACCCCTAACTTATATCCGGGAAAGGAGACAGTCACTTGGATATCCACAATGAAGCTATGGTAAGTTAAGATGTTACTTTACAGTATTATCTAATGCCAGGATGTAGCACACAGACTTCATGTAAAACACGAATCCTTGGAATGAATGCAACGTTACATGATACTTTTTAAAAAATAAGTTTTATTGTGAATTATGTGATAGTTTACATAGGAGAACATTAGTTTTACATTCATCTTATCGTTTCACTGCCATGGTTACAA